CCCCCCCCCCACTTCACCTCCGGTGTCCTCTTTACGACCCCCCGTTGCGACAGTCGCGTCGCATCACACGCTTGACCCTGGTCCCGACCTTAGGGAGGGACGATGAAATCCCTGGATATACAATATCGTTCGTTTAAAAAAACGACGCAAAGTCACCCGATTCATGTGACATCACCGCAGCGTGACCATATTTCGCCTCAGAATGGACGAATTTTCAATTAAAGGTCATCATTCGGCTCAGCTCGGCGCGGCGCCTCTTCTGATACACGGAAAAGTGTCTGTTTGGACACAGTAGGAGGTCAGATTCCACAACCCGTTCCAGATTTTTGCTTACAGTAGGTTGCCCAGTGAGTGTAATGGGTGGCGGACTTTATGAAAGATAGCGCGCGCTTAGGCAGGCGTGTGTCAATAAGGTGCGCACCGTTAGCCCCGCCTATCGCAAGATGGACGAGTTTTTTGCAGTACAGCTCTAACGCTGGTTCATGGCCATGTTCCCTAGTCAAGTGGAAGCAACTTCTGATAGTTATATAAGCTTGTTGCAAGCTGGAATGAAGCTTGACTATTTAAAATTTTTTTTTGCTTTCTTGTTTCATTTTTTGCCAGTTACGAACAGCTAATGTTTTGATCATGAAATTCAAGAGATTTGCTGATTTATCTATGAATGACCGAGTGACTCCTGGATATCCAACTTTGAAGTGTGAAATCAATCTATAACACCTCAGGTATGATTGTCTGAGTGACCTCGCATCTTACGACTAGTTCACACGCTTCGATTGAGTTACAGATCAATTTATACCGAGGGTAGCAGTTTTTGAAAGCAAACAAAAGAATTTTGTTATTCAAAGCAGATTCAAAAAAGTATAAGTGCAGTGTGATTTTCCTTTTCCTGAAATCTGAAAAAGTTTGTGTGATATGATCGCATATTCGCAAAACGAGTGATATCTGATCGTATGAAACATTACCAAATTTAATGATGTAAACAAGTTGTTGAATAGTTTGCTTGAAACAAAATTCGCCTATAATGCTTTATGAATTATCGTCGCAATGAAATGTGTTTTTAGCTATGATTAGGGTTTCAAAACTTACTTTTCCGATAAAATAGATAATCGTGTTGGTCATTTCAGCAATGATAATAATAATTCTCGGTAAGCTGACCTCTTTTTGAATTAAACTTGAGAGTGCACAATAAAGAATATTTAGTATAGTAACAGAATTGAATAAAGAAAAACACTTCTCACAATTAGGACAAACCTACCAGGAACAAATAACTGAAATACATTGAAAAGAACTTGCGAACTAATTTATAATGAAAAAAGACCTGAAAACTGATTTTTGATTTAAGTGAAGTTTTGAAATCTGCTGTTAACCAAATTGCAACCTATAGAAGCATGAAGGAAATATTAGAGAGTTTTCCAATTGCTGAGCGCATTCCTAGGCTAATTAGTAAGGGGGCGGAGCGATCAGCGCACCGCGTACGGTACCCAGCTGGCGGCTGGCACATGCTATACACTCCGCACTTGCGCCGCAGTGACCGTGGGATAGGTCCCAGCGCGAACGTAGCGTTAATGTGCGGGGTCCTCGTTTTCGGGTTACGGTCACGGCGCAGGCGAGGGTTTTCGGGGACGGATTTCTCAGCCGTGAATGAACTATTTGCGCTGCCGCTTTGGCAGTGCCTTAGTTACGACCCTCATCAAATTCAAACTCACCCATATTTGCCCATATTTGTCTGGACACTGCTTTTAAGTGTGTGGGTCCCGACGCATTTGTGATGACTGTGCGGCGCGATGGATCGCCACACATTTTTCGGCGTTCGTAGCCCCATTTGGCGAAGTCGTCGCGATGTCGCGTCGCCCGTTTGCAGCAAGCGACGCGGCGACCGTCGCGTGATTTCTAAACCGTTTTTCCGATTTCACTGACGTATCTTGCCGTTTTTTACCAGTTGTGGATGCTTTTGGACGAAATATTGCTATTTTTGCTATTTATGAGTGTTTTTGCATGAAGTACAAGTAAATGAAATTTCGTCAGAGGTATGCACGCCTCCAAACGATAAGCGACTCAGTCGCCACTTCGTCGCGTGAGCTTTGCCTATGGCCCAATACACCGACCACAGTCATGTGTAACGAAAAACTAGAAATGTCCTGGTGCATGGGAATTCTTGCTCAGACTCTTCGTCCCCTTTAACGTTAGCAGCGTCATGATTTGGGAATCTGTGTAGACAGAGATGTTTTAGCATAACTGCTGCCCTGAATTTGCACAAAATTTTGCGCTGCCTTTTTCTCCTTCAGGAAAACTTACATTGTAGAGAAACAAAAGACTGTTTGTTCGAAAGGTTCGACGTCACCAAACATGAGTGAATATGCACACCAGGGAGTAGCAAGTACCAGGTTGAACGAAAAGAGATATTTACCGTGTTAGAAAAAATTTTGTGTTATCTTCGAGATCTGATATCGATTGCCATGAGTAAAAAGGTGAGATTATGTGCTTTGTAATGAGGCTTTGGCGGAGTTTGTAATTACACAATAGAAGTAAAAGCAGAAGCAAACAGGTCGAGCTACAATGACAATAAGCAATCTCCCCAAATAACCGGGAGGGTTCCAAAAACACTATGAGAATAATAGGTCTTAGCAAACAGTAATAAATGTTTTATAGCCCACTCTTCTGGTCAGACGAAGCTTGTGCTAGAAAACATCAGTAAATTCATGATTTGCGTATCTAAAATATTTTGTACAGGGCTTTACAACCTGAGTGTCCCACCCGCCCCGCTAGGACGCCACGCTTAGGTCCGCGCAGCGTTCGTGGCGCTGGCTGCGCGTCGACTGAAGCTTGGCGAAACCCGGGCGATACGCAGCAAACGCCGCGCGCGGCCTGAGCGAGGCGGCCGCGTTGGAGGAGCCGCGCATGCGAAACTTGCGACTCTCAGGTTGAAAAGCCCTGTAGCTCTGGCTTTCTCAAAAACCATAAGTTCCCATGAAGATTCAGCCAGCATAGTTTGCTCAACTTACAATAGTGCATCAGAATTTTGATTTCAATCCCATGTATGGTTATTCCAGAGAATCGAGGGACATTAATAATCAGGTCATCATCTTTTCAAATGCTGTGAGCTTGAATTAACCTTTTTTTGAAAATTTAATCACTCGCATGACAACTATATGTACTTATAGTACTTCATCGAGCCTGTCTTTTTTGACGTGACAATGCCCATTAAACTTACAATCAAACTAAAAAAGAAAATACTTTCTATGGTTGGAGTAGTTTGTGTATCGTTAGTGTATATCGCTCAGCACAATTTTGAGTGCTGATCTCAAATCTGCATTCCGTAGCTGAAACATCATTAAGAACCGCAGTTCCACCATGGTGACGTCCTGGAAGCCTACCGTAATCCTACAAAAATGAAAAGCATCGACTCGTCCAATACTGTAAATCTAAGTTGAAGCCAGCTCTACAAAATATTCCTAAGCTTCTTCAAAGACTTCATAATAAATGAATGATAACGACCAAATGTTTGACATCCTTTCAAAGGCAGCGTCCAGGCTAAGTATAACCCTTTCCGATTAGTGCCAATCCGAATGTAGGCCCTAGGAGAGGGTCTGCGTCGTTCCGGTCCTCTCATGTTGTCTCTGAATAATGATAATAGGCCTGGAAGAGCCAAAGTGCTATCAAGTCAAGCCCAATCCTATCAAGCTCCGCCCCCCCCCCCCATGTACCGAAAGCCGTCCGCGCCCTCAAGACAGGGTCCCCAGGAACCGGGTTTCTGGGAGTTAGACAATTTGGACATTATAACCGTAATCAGAGTCACAAAAAGCCCCAGAATGGGAGAAATACGAGAGGTGAAGTTTTGGGTGGACGCTGCCTTCAAGATACACTGCATAAAATAAAATCTGTCGGATTGTATGTTCCGAGACCGATTAGTTACATTCAAATCGTAGAAAAATCAGCGTCAGTTGCGCAGTGCGAATGTCATGCACGCATACAGATGGGTAAGGGACTATATGCCGCTAATAGTCTCCACCCCAGCAGACTGTTGTGGAAATTCGTTGTCTGTAACGGGTGGAGTGCATACTTTGGAATAGACCAAAGCCGCCAGTTTGAGCCGATTCCGCGGACTACTGGTCCTCCTGCAACGACATACAAAAGGACTAGTTGGCCGCAAAAGACGGCTCAAACGGCCTTCGTTCCCTTACCCCATACTTTGTAGCAAGTGTGATCATCCCTTTAGCGACATGTACTCCTCACCGCATACAGATATTCGAATACAGCTCATTTTGACAATGCCAGAGCTTCTTCCTTAGCCAAACTTACTTGCACTTCTTGCGTTTTTCAATAACTGAGAAAGTACGGAGTGTTAAAGGAGGCGTGCTGTTCACAGAAAATAATTGTTTGGAAAATATTACTGATTTAGTATCTCTAGTGAATATTTGTAGCTTTGGAGCAGGGAAGTCAACCCTTGGCAAAGGGGGAGGGGAGGGGAACAAGTTTTTCTGCAGAAGGCGCAAACAACTCATCTGTAGAGGTGTGATGAAGTGTGGAGCTGTATCATGGCATATGTCGGAAACTGTAGGAGCTAGTAGGCAAATCAGTTTTTTCTATGACCGAGTATTTCACGTGTTTAGTTTGCTAACGAGAATGCTGTCGAATGTAGTGCCGCTTTGGAAGTTTTTGCTCAATAACTGTTATAGGTGACGACAGAGGCAAAAACTTTTCCTGGTGTTGACGAGTGAACATGGAAAAAGATGAACGAATCTGTCACAATTACTTAGAGTGTCTTCCCTGAGAATTTCGTGCTTTCAAACTTAATATACGACTCACTATGATCTCACTAAACGTTGATTTTTCTTTCGAATGCACAAATATATGGTTGGAAAAAGCTATGGCTGCAGCACAGAATCTCATTGTGTTTATTTGGGAGAAAAGTACATATAACAGTGTGATCTTGATCTTTATTCGTGAGTTGAAATCGCTTGACAAACAATCAGTCAAACACATCAAAACTAACTCTGAGCTTATATTAAATATGTTTTAAGATTGATGAATTGATGTGTAATTTGCAGGCACACATCTTTTATGCATATAAAGCCGTTGCCGTAGCCACCACAATCGGAGTCAACCCTGCAATTTTTTGCGTGGCAAGAACCAGCTAGGCACGTGTATCCTTCGGGGCAAGCACCGTTCACGCAGTCGAATATCGGCTGAGGCGGGGGCGGTGGTATTACATCTGGAATCTGGCCAGGATATGAAGGATTGGATCCAACTCTAGGCTTAAGTAGTGTCACTGGCTGAAAAACAACGCAGATGTTCTGAACACATCTTATTTGTGAACTTCCACAGTCATAGTCATTCTGACAAGGTTTGGTCACAATGCAGAAGTTGTCCACACACGTTGCTGGTGAGATGCAAGAACTGTCTGTTTTACAAGTCATCAACTTATCTGGCCTCCACTTGTGCTTGGGAACGCAAAACTGTCGGTTACACTCAAACCTTGGATCATCACAATCAGCGTTACTTTTGCAAGACGCTCCTTGTGCGCAGATGTTGTCAATGCATACAGATGGTGGAGCGCAAGCAGCATCATTTTGGCACTGCGGCAATGACGTTGTCCCTGAAACTCTTAGCAAATAAGCTGAGAGGCGGTATGCAGTTCATAGGGTATCTACAAGAAATGGTACTGCGTTGAAGCAACAAGTTGCGATTGTAACGCCTAGAGCATATTATCGGGGTTCGTTTAGTGTAGTGCTACAGTTGAATTTATTTTGACAGGCCTTGATTATGCAAAGTACTCAGAGGCGATACTAACCGTTAAAAAGCATCCAGATCTTCAAAGTATTTTCAAAGTATTCACAGCGGGATAAGTTTACTCAAACTGCCCACTAGGAATTTCGAAGCTTTCATGCAAAGCACAAAAATATGCTTCACATTAAGATATGAGTTGCAAGAGATATTTAGTTAGAAGGTTCATTTGAAAGAAAACAAATTGCTGTCGAAACTGTTTTGTTTACCCTATTTTCAGGTGTATAAGCCGCGGGGTGGTCCTAGCTTACATCGAGCAGCCCGAACACATCAATGGACCTCGCATCCAAAGGACCCTATAGTGTGCTGCGTATTGCCTGAAAGTATCGTGCGATATAAGGATCGCTTCTCGAAACACAATGAAGCGGCTGAGCAGCCCGGGCGAAAATTTGAAAAAGTGCGGCTTATATACCTGAAAATGGGGTACTTGAAACCTAATTCCGCTAACTCACTAGTCAGCAATTGGTATTTCATTATGCGAAAACAATGACAACCTCTTACGGATGTTAGCTGGGAGGAAAATCTCATAATAATCCCTTCTGTAGATCCAAAAAGACTTTTGTAAGGAAGACGAAACTTGTCGTTTTTGGTGGGACTAAACTATGAGTAGCTGTAGTATTATGAAAGTTTTTGTATATCATACTTTAAAAATTTTGTGTATATTTCCGACAGTTAACGCCCTAAAGACAAGCTTTTTCAACTTTTGCATTTACCATTAATATTTACAAAGCTGTTAATTGTTCAGGCAAACGTGGCACAAGGGTCTTCTCGTAGAATCTGATAGCAGACCAAACAAAGGCACTGTCCAAGTTTTACATAAATGGAGATCATTTTCTCGGCTTGGATGAATTATCTGTACTACGTCTTGCCTTATTAGGTCTCAAATTCGCTTTTCATATGAAAACACCATGCTTTGAGTGGGCATTGCCTTTAGCAAGAAAGCAGTATAGAGTTAGTCTGAAGACGAGCGCAAATGCTTTTTACAAATCTAACTTAGGCATTTACTAAGCGAATTTACGAAGTTAGACACAATTTTTAGCGAAGCGGTTTGGAAAGACTTATATAGACTCATTCACGACTTTCGCACTCCGTTGCAAAGATAAGAACTCTTTGTTGGATAACCTGCGTTGGGAAGTTTTGACTTTGACTGAACATTTGAATACTGGGTTCATCCAAAGTAAATTTAGTAGCATTTCAAGTTCAAATGTGTGTACTTCTCCCAGCCCTTACTCCTCATTGTTAGTTTTTAAAACCATCTCATCGGCCTGCGAGATAATCCTTTAAAAAATATTTCTGCATAAACTTACCAAAATTCAATTGCCCAGCGGTCAAACCGATCACAGTTAGGATGTAAGCCTGCAAAACAAACAAAACTAAATCTGGTGTGAAATCTATGATATATGTCTTTCCACCTGAAAGTTTGTTATTTATAGGAGCGGAAGGAAGAAGAGAAAATTCTTACCACGAGCAAATCGAACATGTCGAACTTCTTCGTTTTACCTAAATAGGCTTAAGTGTTATAACTGTAGACTCAGTAAAGCAAGAACATCAGCGAAATTGCCAGCCTCACAAAGAAATATCAAAATTCAAAGGCCAAAAAAATTTTTTTGACATTAAGCGTGCATTACTGTTCCCTAGCAAAGCAAACCAAAGTTTGCCTAATGTACTACAAGAGACGGCTAGTTAATAGTACAGCTTTTACTTTTTTTAGCGAAGGAGCGCCTTCAGTTGAAAGCTTGAGCATGACTACAAGGTTTTGAGAAAGGTTTTTGTAGATTTTTCAATTGGTGGAATTTACGTAGCGAGCATGGCTGAACACCTGGAGGAGTTCTCCTGGTGTTCAGCCATTTCTATTGAAGAGGTTGCTAGATAAGAAAGAAATCGCTGAGACGAAAGTTTGTGACGAAAATGTAAGGACGGGGGTTTTCTTAGGACACACGCTGCTCGTCGCGTTCGCTATGCGCATAACAAATTATGCAAAACCGTATTCCAAATGTTTGAGGCAAAGAAATTCTGACACTTGTGCAGTATAATTGCGTTGTTGTAGGAATAATCTCGCTGAAACACAATAAAATGCTTTTCATGTTTGATGAATTTACGATTTTATGCATATGATGTAGTCTGAACGTTTTCAAAATAGGACTATCTACCTATCTTCCACAACATTTTTTTTGGGTAGTCTACCGTATCTCTTATACACCGCTGTAGTGAAAAACGCGCAATGCGATTGCAATCAGCACACCGGTAACGCCACTGAACCAACCAATTTTACTGTTATGGGACTTTGGCTTTCACTAAATTCCTACATAACCCTGCTCTATCTCTCCGCGATAAAGAATGAATATCATATCCGCAATAAGCGCAGCGAATAACCCCGCCAGGCCATGTTTCAGTCAACTGCTTGAACCTCGCCCGATTACCGTATCCTTACCGTTCCTCGCTATATGGGCGAATGTTGAAAAATGAACATCGTAGTCGTAATAGCATGCAAAAAAATCCCACTGTACCAAGTTTCAGCCAATTTCGTGATTTTCGCCCAACTATCGTATCCCTACCGTAACCTCGTTATGCGGGCGAATGGCGAAAAATGAGCATCGGATTCGTGATCAGCACGTCCGATAACCCCCCGGACCAAAGTTTTACAAAATTTCAAATTTTTGTATTCAACGGTGCACCATGATACCCCCATCATGCTTGAATAAACTCCTTTTAGAACGTTATGAAAGAAAAAAATGTGCTAATTGGTGTCCATCTGGCAACAAAAATTGCGCCATTCGACATACATCCACTTCTTACCTCAACTAAATTGATGATAATAAACATCCCATTCAAGGATTGAAACTCTAAAATCATGTAAAAAAAACTCCAAAAAAAGTTGGTGTTATAGATAGCACACCTTTTTTTGGCTGTGCAAGGGCAGTATTATTGGAAGTTATGATTTTTGAAAATGGTGCGAACGAATTTTGCTCACCTAATTGGTACATAGCTTTTGCTTTAGCTAGCATTCTATCAAAACTCAAGACCTCTAACAAATGGGAAGACCCACTAGGTAACAACACAATATTCAGTGCCTCCAAAATGTTCCCACCAGATATAACACAGTAGCTCAGTCTGAACAAAACCTTTACTCATTCACACAAAACTGTTGCCAGATTTAAATAGATAGTGTCTTTAGAAATAAGAACAAATTCGCAAAGGCCATCCATTGAAATCATCTTCACAGCCTAATGAGCGGCTGCTGTGGCTGCCACTGTCGTTGCAGTCAGTGTGGTCAGTGCGGTAGTGCGACAGTATGAAGCGACCTTGAAGCGGTTCTCTTCAAGACTTGCCTCATGCACATCTTGCTTGATTTCAAATCTATCCATCTATCCATGCAATTCTCATAAATTGAGGGTGACATAGACAGGAGAACCAGCTCACATAAGTAGCGTTCATGGAAGAGCTTCTTTTGAACATGCTTGTGAAAAAAATTGTAGCTTTCCTTCTCAATCAGAGTTTTTTTTTGTTGAAAAGACTCAGGATAGGAATGGGTGATAAAGGCATAAATGACAAAGAAGGAAAAAATTGCATTTGTATCATAATGTATGGCAAAATTTTCCTCTTTAGAGGATGTAAGGAAACGCACTCTAGAAGAACTTGCAAGTAACGTGTTAACACCTCAACACTTACAATTGCCCGCAAAGCCCAGACAAAACCTACAACATTTCCTTAGAGAGGCGAGTTTGCGTATTATGATAATGATTTCTGTTTAGATTCCATTGGGGACATTTATATACCTTGAACCAGGAACATGTAGCACAGACCTTAACATTTCTGCGCGTAACTGCTAAAGCTCTGCAAAACCGATCTTTGCTCTGCTAATAACGTCTAATCTGCAATGATTTCGGATGTAAAAGAACATCCTCGCTTGCAGCTCAAAATCTGCAGGATTATTGTACTTTAGCGTAATACTTTTTGCTTTTTCTAGCCACAAAAGCATTGATTCGTGGCAAATTGAATATAAATCAACATAGAGGATAGCCATGTAAGATATTTGAGCAAGTTTTGCAATGTTAGACGCAAAGTAAAAACCAAAAAATTCCCTCTTTTTGTTTTCTTCAACCTATTGTCGACATGGGCCACCGTTGACTCACGGCATTTTATAGTATTTCTGATGTAGCCTTCTACACATGCTTGCACTTGCATTTGTAGTGGGTCCAGGACACTTCGGAATAGTAGATTTACTAGTAGACCGGATATGAATGAGAACGGACGATAAGATGATACGAATGACTTAGCTAGCAAGGAGCGCCTTATATATCGCTCAATTCCCGCGCATAGGTCAATACAATACCATCACAACAGCAACACAAACATTAACAAATATTATGTTACTCTCCGACAGTTTCAATATATTCATATCTTTTCTTAAACCTTTGCTGATGAGCTTTTCTTTCTCGACTCAACTTTTCAACTTTTGACAACTCTATAGGTCTCGGCTTCTCCGCAGGCGGCGTGAGGCGGATATGGTCGCCGATGATGGAGCGGTGCCGTAGGACTTCGCACTCAAAAATGGTGAAAAGCGCTAAGGGTTGGTGGTTTTGTGAAAAAATTGTGTAGTAGATGTTCAATGGCAAATATCGCGCGAGCAAAGACACTAGAGGGGTCGAGTGGTAGAGGAAAAAACGAATAAAGGAAAAAGAAAACTACAGATTGTCCAGGTTCGTCTGTCTCTTTGCCATGGTGGATACTCGTAGTGGAATTGACTAAGCGAACTTTCAAGGTTGATAACACTTCTTTTTTCGCTAACTTTCGGCGCTTCGCCTCTTTCAGAGCCTGCAAGCCGAAATCATATGAACTTACTCGCCCAGACGTCAACAAAAGACCAAAGTATCATTCGAAAACAAAGCTAATGCTAACAAAATTATATTCACGAGCAAAGTACTCACCTTAGATAGCACAAGGCGGAAGTCTAAGGACCATTTATGCATGCACAAGACACTAAGTCAGCTCTTTTATACGTGCCCGACCCGGCCTCATATTGAAGGCCTCATATTCAAATCCGCATAGAGACTGATAAGGCGCACTCCCTCTTTATGACGGTACACTACTCCTTCCGGTTCATTTTTGGATTTTTGGCGCTAATCCAAAACGCTCCTAAACTTTTGCGCGTGAGGATCTCGGGTTTTAGCGACAAGATCTTTACAGTAACTTGTATAGGAGCCTTACCATGGCGCTAATACGATGTTCCCCTAATGGCGCAGCTGCTTTTGCTTAGCCGTCTATATGCTCCTTGACGCGACAGCAAAGCGGACGCCCAGTTTCGCAAATGTCAGTGTCGCCTCATGATAAGTATCCAATGAGGTAAAATACTCCGACTAGCATACAGTCCCCACATCTACTATACGGGCAAACCATGCGTTTGGAGTAGCACATATGCGGTCATAAGCTCGATTACGAACCACTTGGCGTTTGAGATTAGTGGGAGGAATATCGACCACTCTTTCCACGCCGTGCACCCGCCTGATGTAGCCTGGCCATCCTGCCCTGCTCAATTCATCGGAAAGGGGTGGCAGGCAGAAGGGGACCTCGTTATCAGCGCCATATTAGGCTGCTCCGAGAAGAAGCGCATGCTTTGCGGCTGTGCCCAAGTGTAGTATAGCCATTGGAAGCAGCAATTCCCTGTGCCAAGACGATGGAGTACGATCGTTCCTCGCTGCCGGAACATACCCGCGGAACTGTTCTGTACATATTGCCCACAATAGACCGTTTTGTGCTATTTGGATTGTTTCATACTGCCGCACTGACTGCAGCAGACTGCAGCTGACCGCACTGACGCAACGGCCGCACAGCTCGCTGCATCCTTTCGTAAAAGAGAAAATAGTTGCGAATACAATCAAAACACCGTGACTTACGCCTAGAAAGCATAGCTTCTAACTTACTCTTCTAGTCAAATTTTGGCGATTGTTTTTTTAATATGCTCATATTTGTTCAGATTCCTTTTGTCACTGCATATACCTATATCACTCCCGCTCGTGTTGTCTATTGGGGCATACATTGTTGAGAGACTGTTTCGAGCTACAACTATTTATCCTCTCCCCCTTCACGAAAGGATGCAGCGATCTGCGGGGCCCCGCGGTCAATGCGGTCAGCTGCAGTCTGCTGCAGTCTGCTACAGTCAGTGCGGCTGTCTGAAACAACCCTTTGGATGTGCAGACAAAGAATGTACCAAAATGTTTTACTATTGGGTTTGCGATACCACTTAGTTTTGTAGCTTCCGCCTGCTAGACGGATCTGCACATTCAGAAACGCCAACCACCTTCCAATAGGTTTCTCCCTGGTGAAAACGATGCTTGGTGACTGCTGGTTTAATATTTGGAAGCAAGTATCTACTTCGGCTTGAGTTTTGGGCATATGACGCAGCAGTCATCTATGTAGCGACTGTAAAGCAGGGGTTTTCGCTGCAGCACTGGCGCTTCTATCTTAGACATGAAAATGATTGCCATAGAGCTGCCAGACGTT